GGGGGTTGAGCGCCTGTTCGTTCCTCGAAAAATATCGATGCACAGTTTGTATATGTGATCACGTCCAGAAAAACGAAAAAAAATATCGATACTATGTACCGTTTGTATGTGTTCGTTTCTGAGGGGTGGGGGAGGGAGGATGAAGAGAAATGACTAGCTCTCGTTTCTAAATAAATATTGGTATTTACGGAAGGTCGCTTACTTTCCGCAGCTGCACGCTTTGGACTGTAGCCGTGCAAGCAATGATCAGCGCTAGTCCAGAGTCTGTGCAGTGTATGTACAGACAGTGCACAATCGATCATCGACGCATCGCGTAGTAGATGATTGTACAAATTTCATATTCGCGTGTCAAACTTCCGCGATTCGGCCCTGCTCGCGAAAGTCGCGAAAGTTTGTCGTTTTACAGTAATAGTTAGGCATCAAGTCTGAACCAAATTCCTTGCTCCGTGCAATGAAAGTTGACGGGAAAGGGGAAAATACTCGCACCGACTCTGGGAGGTGGAAGTGCGTGAGAACCGATTTCTTCCTCGCCGCTCGGCAAAAATCGAATGCGCATTTTCAACGACGCTGGTTCGATTTTGTTCAAATGGCAACCCATACTACTGGCAGCGTATTTCGATGGGTATGGACATCTTCCAGGGCCCAGTGGCCGTCTACCACGGCTAAACATCTCCAATATTCGAAAATAGAGGGCCAAACTGGGTGAAGTCTACCTGTCGACTTGCGTCGACAACAGCACTGGGGACTGCTGGCACTCGGAGTGCATGAATGCGCTGTCGACTGCAGTCGACAGGAGCAGTGAAAGGGTTAAGACTAAAATCCGAGCATTTGGAGCGAGTTTGAAAATTGAGTGAAGTCACTATTGCCTAGGGGTGAAACAATTATACCGAATACTCGAGTACTCGCTCGGTTTTTTCAAAAATAATCGTACTCGGAATAGATCAGAGTACTCGTTCATACATGGTACATGCATTAACCACAGAAATCTGCAGTTTCAGAGCAGCAGTCGCCAGATATTGATGTGCAGACTGTGTGGTGAACATTTGTTCACGACTAGAGAGAGAGCCCACATGACCCACCAAACAATATACCCGAGAAAAATGACTGGCACTCGCTTCAATCAGGGTTGTATCATGTGATGTTAAGGCGGTGTGCAATTTTTAGGAGATGAATAATAGTTGAATACTCGAATATTCGATCGGAAAAAATCAGAGTACTCGAACTCGGGATATCAGTGCCAACTTTCACCCCTACTATTGCCATAAGCAAATTCACACATACGCTCAACTTCACGCACACTGGTTCAGTACCCCCGAGTGCTGAAACGATTATATCGATTACTCGTTACTTACTTGATAAGAAATAGATCGAGCGGTTATTTCGATTTTATCGGCTTAACGAGTAGAATGGTACTTACGCTCGGTTCGGGATTTCCCCCCTGGGGGGGGGGGGGGGGGGGGGGGCGGGGGGTTGCACAAAGCGTGCATGCACCGAAAGTGTTGCGAGTACGAGACGAATATGTACATGACTGTACACTTGCAACATCGATGTATGTGTAAAAGTACAAGCGCGATCTGAGAAACATCGACGCAATCACTGTCGCCGTCTTTTCAGCTGACTACTTTTCTTACATACAGCATGCAGGACTGGCAGGCTCAGTATGTGTATACACTAGATGCAGGGGCTGGAGTTCCCTCCACGTGCGATTAGTCTTGAGCTAAAGACAGTAAAGTGGTCTTCAGTTTCGTGTTTTCCGTTCTGTCGACGGTTCTCGAATCAGTTTGCTCGACGACAAGCTAGGCCTGGCGTCTAGGCCTATTTTGAGCATAGACAGGAAAAGCAACTAGTTACTTGTTGGCGCGCCTCAAGTCAGCTCATCTGGCGAAATCCACCGATCTTCACCCCTGGCCGGCTTCTTTGACTTCATCGCCGAAGTCAGCGAAGTCACAGGCGAAAGGCAGCACCAGCTCTTGGGTTGCAACCAGCGCGTCGCCTCTGTCTCGTCTGTATTCGTCTGGTCAGTCCGAACAGCTGACGGACTTGTTGCGAGATCATCGGATCTATGCACCCGCTTTCCGTCGTTGGCGATGTTGGACTCGTAAATTTTTAGAAATTCACAGAATGTACGTTGTACTGATGTACATGTAGGTACAGTAATAGTCGTATAGCCGATAAGCCGATCGTTATGGTATCAGCTAAGGCACTAAGGAAACGTAATCGTTTCAGCACTAGAACTTGTCAATGGTCGCTTTCTTTGCATCATATCTCTTTCACGGCATGCCAGGGAAGGCCGAGAAAGTAATCGTGACTAATTTCACGGCAGTTTGTGCGCAAACCAGTCCCTCAAAAATCAAAAATCCATCACGATGTTTTTATTTACGGAGTAAGTAGATGGAAAACCACTCGTTTGAAGGGCTACCTCCCGCCTGGCTATCCCCCTTTGAGGGAGATCTCCCGACCAAAGAGAAAATGAACTTGGGAGCTCTGAAATGGATGAACTGCAACCACTGCAACTGCTGGTGGCTTAGCACCACAGCACACACCGTGTTTCCGGTGTGTTGGCTGCACCTTGAATTGCATCCAAAAATCGTCCTGCGGCTTATAATCCGAATGCTGGAAGTGAATCAGCCAGCTCTACAGCGCTCCGTGCATATAATGAGTGTATGATGTCATTCGACTGTCTTCATGTACTGAAATCCATCACTTCACTTGCACAAAGCTTCTACATGTCAGTTCAGAGTGAAGGACAAACTAGGCCCCTTTTTACCATAACCTCAGTTGTTCTTCATAAATTTTTAAGCATTTGTAACGTCTTGTATGTATGTATGTATGTATGCATGTATGCATGCATGCATGTATGTATGTATGTATGTATGTATGTACCAGTACGCATTAAGTTAGATTGTCAAAAAGGTAAAAGTCTGACGTATGGCTTATACTTCACAACAAAAATACGAATTTTGGGACTGAAAAGCGGCACGTAGCTTAGACCCTTGGGGCTGGGGAAAACGAATGTTGCAATCGACCCGTGTCTTATCCTGTGCATCAAGCACTAAATGTTGTACCGTCCGACTTTTTAGGATATCACCGGACATTAACCCATTTCATACTTGGCCCCTTTTCTCCTGTGGAGAAAAGGGGCCAAGTATCTCCTGTGGAGAAAAGGGGCCACACACGTTTGACGTTTTGACGCCCATCGCTGGAGGCACTGATAGCGATGCTACAGCCGAAGCCATAGTAGGTTGTGCTGGGATGGCACCATTCAAGAGCTTGCATGGCTGAAGAATTGACCACCACTATTCAGCCTGGTCTACACCACACAGCTATGAAGTGGTTTTACTGGCTAGTGAATCCCTGCTTTTGGTCTTTTTCATTTTTTCCATACACACATCCACATACACTGGCATATACTGGCTGTTGGTACCCACCTACGAGAATGAAAGAAAAGTCAAGATTTGAGAAAAAGAAAAAAGACGTGTGTGACCATAATCGTCTGGAATCGAACCCACAACCTCTCGATTGGAATTCGCTGCACATACCACTGCACAGCCACCCTCCCTCCCTCCCCCCCCCCCCCCCCCCCACACACACCTATGGACGTTTGGATCCCCATTGCTCGTGCAATGATAGCAACATGAGTTGCAGTAATACCTCTGGCGAGTTAGATCGTTGGGCAAACGGGAGTTCCTGCCACAGCCGCAAATTAACACTCTAGGCTTTGGCACAGCCGACCGGGGTTGGTTGCACATGAGGCGCCAGTTTCGTCTGTCCTGCGCCAAGTCGCACCAGTCACCTGTCACGCACCGAGCACTCAGATCAGCAGCGGCGATGTGAGTCCAACGTTTCTTGGGACCGTGTCTGAGCCTTGTGTTGAGTCCCTCAGCAAACAGGACACGCTCGGGGAGACGGGAATCCTCCATTCGCGCAATGTGGCCAAGCCACACACACACACACACACACACACGCACACACACACACACACACACACACACACACACACACACACACACACATACCCATGCACAAGCACACATACACACACACACACAAACACACACACACACACACACACACACACACACACATACACACACACACACACACACACACACACACGTGCACATACATACACACGCACGCGAGCACACACGTGCACACACACACACAAATGCATGCATGAGCAGGCGCGAAATTTAGGTCTGTGGGTCCTGGCTATGCCAATCGTCTACTCTGTCTAGCATAACTTGGGAAACGAGAGAGCTTGGAAGCTCAGGGCCCTACGCTATGCTTTTTTGCCTAGCTCATGATGCATGTTATTAGAACTGATGGAACTTTCTCTTTGGCCCCAACTTCGTTGCGGTCTTATAGTGTTTTTCGTCAACCATGACGGCTACAATGCCCAACCATACCACAACGAACTGATCGGCTACATCATTGTATTGCAAAAAGTTTCCATCTGTTCGAATAACTTAACATGCATGATGAGCTAGGCAAAAAAAGCATAGCATAGGGCCCTGAGCGAAAGAAATAAACTTTCCCTTTGCATTCGAGGGTAATACGACACCATCTACCACCTTGATGACCTAGGCAAACAAGCATAGGGATGTTATCAGTTTTTCATGAGAGAGATATTTCCCCTATTTTCTTTTCAAGACATATCTCGGGATTCGAACCCGCACTATCGCCCTGCATGCATTCCCCCGATACACTTCGCATACATATTAATTCTTCCAAGTTGCTTCACGTTATGATCTATCATTTGACAGTCCTGTTTGAATATTGTGGCCAGCTGTCTTTGATGGTACGGTCTGGGACAGGTACGACATAGCGCCAGGCATGCCGATGGCACAAACAAACACAGAATTAATGCTGCGTGGACTCTGGCTAGCGCCAGACGTTACTGAAGTAACGTCTTTTGCATAGGTACGGGAATAAAAGTAAATTGATCAACTCATTTCTGGTGTTGTGTGTGTGTGCTGTGTTTCTGCTTGGCAACAAAGAACGAAATGAAGAAAGAGGAACTTCGAACTGGTGGGTGCCAATCCGTCTGCTAGATTTTAGGAACTTCTTCGTAGTAATGGTTTTTGGTTATCAAAGTCTTCAAGTATGAGCTATTAGAGAAAACAAAGACAGAGACTGTGACAGAGAGAGGGAGATAGATAGATAGCTCATGTGGGGTAGTGCCTTTGCTGTTTGCGTTATGCAGAGCTCACTGATTTGTCAGTTTGAGCACTCTGGCAAGGTTCGTTTGGGCCTGGTTTAAATCTGGCTTTGGAAATTTTATTCTCCAGTGCTACCAGGGCCGGCCTCGTTTTCTCTGTCCTGCGCTGATGAGTCCACAAAGGACGAAACAGTTCTGCCCGCAGATTGATTAGATAGATACAAAGGAGTAATTTTGGCAATTGCCGGCAACCATAATTATAGTGTCTGTGTGATACTGGCCTTCATTCGTGAATCGTGTAGAGTAATGTCAATTTACGTGCCAAGTATCACACATGATCATATTCATAGTGATCAGTCTCAGGTATTAGTATCAGTCATGTGATTGCAATAGCATGAAACTTTGAGTTACATAAAATCCAAACTGGACCACTTTCTGTCTTTTTAGTTAGATAGGTAAATAGATATAATTATACCCAATACTGTATGCTGTATACATAGTCAGAGAAACAGAGAAACAGAGAGATAGAGAGACAGAGAAAAGGGGCGCGTGGGGGGGGGGGGGGGGTTGGAGGGAGGGTGAACAGGAAGAGAATAAGCAAAGGGGGGGGGGGGGGGCTCTCAATTTCTTTTGTGACTGGTAAACTCTGTTGTACTTGAGACATTCTACCATTTCCCATGATAACATGTACTAATGGTTGTTGCTGCTGTTGCTGCTCTTCTTGCTGCTACTGCTGCTGCTGCTGCATTATTGTTCATTGTAATGCAGCTGCTGTGGCTGAGGACATCATTGGTGGTAAGGACGAGGCCAGCGTGGTACGCGTGCGTATGTACCTTGTCGGCAAGTACGCCACGGGAAAGTCCAGCTTTGTCCGGGCACTGCTCGGTGAAGAGTTCATTGAAAACGCGGACAGCACCGACTCCATTTCCATCCATCGATCCAGACTCAGAATGCATCTCTCCTCTCAGACCGCCACAGGCACGCAAGAGGCAGCACAAGTTCTTGTGGATGACAGTGAACATAGTTTCTTTGTCAATCTACTCACAGCTCGCATCCGATCATCTGTAGAACTGGTCCAGAAAATCAAGGAACTTCCGCAAGAATCGATCTTGTCCAAAGTCCAGACACTATTCACTTCATGGCTCTCTTCGTCATCTACTGCCTCCGCTACCGGCACCAGAGCATCTGCTGCATCCGCTGTCAACAATGAGTTTGCCAATGTTCCCCACGCTAATGACCTGACCAAAGTGGCACCAGATGTTATCTCTCAAGTTCGCTCATCTGTCAGCAATGTTGATAGCAGTTCAAATGAAGCCGAAGCAGCATATGCGTTTGTTGAGCTGTGGGACATGGGTGGACAGATGCCGATGTTGGTACAACAAAGCATCTCATTTTCAGTTTGTGACAGCGTGTACATTGTGACTCTTGACATGAGGTGTGACCTGGATGAGGAGGTAACGGAAGACGTCTACCGCTTCGATGGTCAGGAGATTGTAACTTCTACACCGTTGCCAGGAATGACGCAGGCTGACTACCTTCACATGTGTCTGTCACTGATTGCTTTGCAGCATAGAGCAGACACACACACTGACCAGCATCACCACCAGCATCACCACCAGCAGCAGCATCAGCAACAGCAGCATCAACAGCAGCAGCAACAGCAGCATCAGCCAGACACAGAGACGGGTGGGAGCAGTAGCAGCAATAGCAGCCACCATCATGATGAGAGTAGCACAGCCATCATGGTTGTTGTTACACATGTGGATCTTGTCGACGATGACCAAATAGAGAAGAAGAAGGACATGTTCTTCAATGCCGTGTCCAAGCTGGCTGAAAGGGCCGGACCCAACGTCAAGGTTTGTGGACCCTTCTTTGTTGACAATCACCGTCTTCAAGATCGCGTATCTCGCCACAGCCAGCTTGCTGAAGCACAGCAAGAGCTCTCTAGAATTGTGTCTGCCTTTCCTGTCCAAGCAATTCCCTTGATGCAAGTGAAGATAGAAGAAGCTATTTCTCTCCACCAAAAGGAAATGCTGCGCTATGCAAAGGCTGGGTGCAGTGATGATGCAAAAGCTACCAGTAGTGATCAGCAGCAGCAGCAGCAGCGGCAGCGACAGCAGCAGAGTTTTGTTAGTATGGACTACCCACAGTTTGTAGACTTTTGTCGGCATGTTAGCGGCAAAGATCTCACCACTGCACAAGTGTCTGATCTACTGCACCACCTTCAGCAACATGGCACAGTGTTTTGCTGTGACTGCCCGCATCCACTCACTTCAAGTGTCATTTTCCTGGAACCCCAGCAGCTGCTACTCAACTTTGTACGCTTGATGACCTTCCCTCTAAAGGAGACAGCTTTTCCAAGCACCTCAGCAACATTAGTCAGAGATGTGCAACACTTTCGACGTACGGGAATTGCCAGCGCTAGGTTGATAGAGAAAGTTTGGTATCCTCTCAGCCGTGTTGTCCAGCTAGCTCTCTGCAAATCCATGTGTTACTTCAACCTGGCAGCAGAACTTCAGCCCGCCAGCAATGCAGCCACCAGCAGTACAGCCACCAGCAGTACAGCCACCAGCAGTGCAGCCACCAGCAGTACAGCCACCAGCAGTACAGCCACCAGCAGTACAGCCACCAGCAGTACAGCCACCAGCAGTACAGCCACCAGCAGTACAGCCACCAGCAGGACAGCCACCAGCAGTACAGTCAACAGCAGTACAGCCACCAGCAGTACAGATACCAGCACTGGAGGGTGTGGCAGTAGAGTCGGCGGCAGCAGCAACAGCAGCAGCATCAGCAGACAAGACAGATGTCCGGTTGTCACGCCAGGCCTACCCGACCTCTTCATCCCGTTCTGTTGCAACCAGGAAGCATTACGGTTGGTTTTGGAGGATGATGTCCCCTTTAAGCTACCGTTTAACCACCTCAGTTTCCCTGGGATGCTGTTTCCTCCACCACTGTTCGGTCGCTTAGTCACCTACATAATTCATCGTATGAAGAAAGAGTCAGCCAGTCTTCAATTCACATCCAGTGCGGCATCACTGAATTTGGAGGTTGGTTGTAGTCAAGTATGCCTCTGCTGGACACCGACAGGTGTTCGCTTAGAATGCGCTGCTGCTACACCATCCATACTTGCTGATGTGGCTTGGGATATGAAGAGTGCAATTGTTGACTTCACACAAGTTCTCAGCACCCAAGGGTACCAGCAGTTCACAGTTGTTGGTGAGTCTTTCGCCTGCACTTCCACTTCATGCCAGGATCGCCTGAAGGAATGCAGCAGTCCTGCAGAGGTGCTGGTGCACTCGTCATGGGTGTTGCTGACCAGCTTGCACAAGAAGCATTTCTTGACGGCGTACGAGTCGGATGGGAACACCGCCCTGACCTTCAAGGCTACGTGTGCTACCTGCGAGGAGAAGGTCATTATCCCGAGGTCCTTCTGGCCCTGGCTGCGTAAGGATGTGCCATTTGTCCAAGCTGAGGTGAGTTGTGAAGATTTTCTTCCACTGTCTTGTATGGTTTCAGCATACACTTGAAATGTCAAGCTGCTAGAATAGATACTTTGCTGCAATATCTACACCATCATGTGACTGTGATCATGTGACAGTGATCATGTGACAGTGATCATGTGACTGCGATCATGTGACTGTGATCATGTGACTGTGATCATGTGACTGTGATCATGTGACCGTGATCATGTTCATGTGACTGTGATCATGTGACTTTAATCGTGTGACGGTGAGGATTTGACTGATCAAGTGACCGTGTGTCGTTTATTAGTTTTCATTATTTCTTCAAGGAGAAGTATTTTCTTTTCAGCAATACTCAATAGAATTCTACTTGATCAAAAGCTGGCATAGAATTGCAATGCACTACGAATGGAGGATAATTATTATTTTACGGTATACGTCTGTGGAATGGGCCTGACTGAACTTTTCTCTTGTTTGTGTTTCTTGCCTGAATATCTTCGGATTTCTAAAACGGTTTCAGCAGCCACTAGCAGCAGCAGCAGCAGTGCCACCAGCAGCAGTGCCACTAGCAGCAGCAGTGCCACCACCAGCACCAATGCCACCACCAGCACCAATGCCACCACCAGCAGCAGTGCCACTAGCAGCAGCAGTGCCACCAGAATCAGTGCCACCAACAGCAGCAGCAGTGCCATCAGCAGCAGCAGCAGTACCACCAGCAGCAGCAGTTCCACCACCAGGAGCAGTGCCTCCAGCACCAGTGCCACCAGCAGCAGCAGCAGTGCCACCAGCAGCAGCACTGCCACCAGCAGCAGCAGCAGCAGTGCCACCAGCAGCAGCAGCAGCAGTGCCACCAGCAGCAGCAGTTCCACCAGCAGCAGCAACAGTGCCACCAGCAACAGTCCCACCAGCAGCAGCAGTGCCACCAGCAGGACAATCAGCAGCAGCAGCATTACCTCTGCCATCACCATCATCATCATCACCAGCAGCAGCGGCAGCAGCGGCAGCAGCAGCGGCAGCAGCAGCATTAGCACCCGCAGAGGCAGTTTCATGCCAACCGTCAACATCACCGTAAGCACATAGACTTGCTGTAATTGAAATCATGTGTACATGGTACAGGTATTGCTTCACACCTGATCTCAATTCTACCTTTTATATGCTAATAGCAATGTTACTCAAAGTCCCTAGCACTATTTTTGCAATGTTACTGGAAGTAATGCCATCATAACGAGGTGTTCTCTTGCTTGTGTGTGTGTGTGTGTGTGTGTGTGTGTGGGTGTGGGTGGGTGTGGGTGTATGTGTGGGTGTCTGTGTGTGTGTGTGTGTGTGTGTGTGTGTGTGTGTGTGTGTGTGTGTGTGTGTGTGTGTGTGTGTGTGTGTGTGTGTGTGTGTGTGTGTGTGTCTGTAATGTCCGATTTAGGGAGAAGCTTGTGGCAGAAGATGGTTTAGCAAAGGTACTCCAACCAGAGCTTAACACTAACCAACCATGTAAGTCACTTCAACACTACCGAATAATATTGATTTCTACAAATATATGCATAGTGGTATATGCAAATCGTGAACTATAACTTATGTCACCTTTCGCGTGAAACTAAGTTAGTCTGAGTTTTTCACAACCACAGGATTGCGACCACCTGCTACAGTAGACTCGTACGCCCAAGAACCTCCAGGCTGGAAATCTAAGAACGCCCCAGCCTGGATTTAAGAACGAACTCCAAGATTTCGGAAAGGAAACGCTCGACAAACGAAGTGGGAGCTAATAACTACAATGCAATCTTCTGAAAAGGAGAGGGAGAAAGAGACGTGATATTTGAGCGCGGTTTGTTTTGCAAGCGGATTGCACCTTCATGATCTTGTCCGAGTACACGAAAAACAAGTCCGCAACCACACACTCTTGTCGGGTCCTCGCGAAAACATCACCCAGTGCAGCGCTACATACTACACGTGCATGTAAAATCTCTCAAGTGCTGTCCAGCACCTCGCCGATTGGCTTAGGAACCGCGGTCTCATCTTGAATGAAACGAAGACACAGATCATGCCGATATCGCCAGTACGATCCCAAACATTTGACTTGCAAGTGCAATGCAATGGACTGCCTCTGCCAACTGTTCGCTCTGCGAAATATTTAGGTCTCCACTTTGATGCGGACATGAGCTGGAACACCATGGTCGACCACGTCGCAAGGGGCGTCGCGTCAAAAGTTGGCGTGCTCAGACGATACGCTACATTCCTGCCTTTTCAATGTCGCATAGCCTATTTTCGTTCTTTCATTTTATCACACTTTATGTATGCCGCTTCTGCTTACTTACCATTTCTCACGGCGTATCAAAGTCGACGGCTTAATGGGCTCTTCAAGCGTGCTGTACGCACAGTCTGTAGGGTACCTCCGGGGACACCCACAAGCAATATTCTTACACGCATGAACATCCAAACATTGACCACATACGCCAACATGCACCTTCTGGTTTTTATCTGGCGTTGTCTCCATGACTCCTGCTATCATCAGCATGTTGTTCGCTAACTTTTTCAGCCGCAGTAATTCCACTCAAACTCGTGGTGGGCACAGTAATTTACTGATTGTCCCAGCCAGCCCAACTGCATACCTTGCCAAACGTGTTACCTATGCTGGGACCATCTTATGGAACCAGATCCCCGCTGCGGTCAGGCAAGAAAGAAAACGCAATCGCTTTAAGTCAATGGCTCTTGCCTTTTTGCTTACCAGATAAATAAGCCTCTTTATAAATGCTGTATGCACTGCTCTTTCCGTTATTTTCTTCCTATGCAAGTCGCAACTCCTGTTTTGAGTTGTTTTTCTTCTCTCTTTTTCTTTCCCTACTAGTTGCTGTTACACTCACTGATCCTTATGCACAGATATACAGCATTCCCTCACTAGTGGGACCATTGTTATTAGGCTAGGGCCTGTTTTGGACTTCCCACTCTAAATAAAGAATACAAACAAACAAACATGTAAAGTGTACAACCGGTACATGTAGCGCAAAGTGCATTGTACTCGTACATGAGCGTCACGGGTCATGTTGGACGCGTAAGAACGCGAAATAAGAACGTAGCCTGGGGCGCTGAAAAATAAGAACTTTGCTAGGCTGGCCCTCTGAAACCGCGTTCTTGGGCGTACGAGTCTACTGTAGGACTAAGGCGCAGATGCAGCTCATAAAGCGGTAGAAGATGAATAGATCTGAGCTAGCAAACAGACTGAAAACCTCATTTGCCCTATCCATGCTTCCCTTGTGCCAAGCCGCCAGTTTCCAATTAAACTACTCGTATGGGTTTCGTCACGGCTGGAAACATCCTTACACGTCCAAGCAGGACTTAAATTTGGTCGTGTGTATGAACATTCATCCATTCTTACGACTCATACGAGTTTACATATATATATGTAGGACTCAGTGAGCAGTCACGTCTCGATGACCGATCACGATCCCCGTGACCAATCAAACAGTCACAAATCCCCGAAGAGCAGTCATAAAGTCACACACCAGTTTGAATCCCGATGACCAGTCAGAAACAGCCGCGACTTTCTCTGTGAACGGTCACAGGATCCACGTCAATATATTACGACTCAACTGTAGGCATTCACGCGGTCAGCATACTTTTTTCCTTCACAGGTTTCAGAAGTGAGCAAGAAAGATTTCGATCAACTCTCGATCTCCGCGTAGTTTACTTGTAGCTCGAGTCTGGTGTGTGTGGGCTCCTCTCCAAAACGAAGGGTGGTCGAAAATCTTGCAGGCTTCAGATAGAATCTCTTTTGAGAGGACGTTCTGGCTAGTAGGTTGTGCTATTCATCATATTTGAAGAACAAATTTCGTCGTTCAGAAAAGCTATTTCGGAATATTTTCAGTCATGTAATTTTTGCATGCCGATCTTGCTAGAGCAGAGACTGACTTCAACTGATCCAGCATGCAAGCAGCACTCGATTTGTGTTTTTGGAGAGGATGGGTGACAAGATTACGGAGTCAGAAGTGGACATCGTCGACGATGCAGAGACGAAAATATAATGAAGATGGAAATGAAAATATGTTCATTTCCAAGAAGGTACTGAGTACATCAAGCACCTTCGTGTGTGTAGCTCTGTCTTTCTTGTGGAAGACTCCACAGAAAAACAATGTCCAGCTTGTTGAAACTGAAACTGCCTCTCAGTTGAAGTCGTTCAGGAAGACATCTATTCAAGACATCATTGATCCATTCTCAAGAACCATCGTAAGAAATTAAATCAAGTCATGTTTATCGATAAGAATGGCGAACTAGACCAGAGAAGTGTGAGTGTCTTGTTTTGACTGCAGGAAACTGTATTTCAATATTCTGGCTCAACGTAGTGCTTACGCAGTTTACTGCTTCGAACACATCTTCATTTCTACTCCCAAAATAACTCTGTAAAATTTATTGATGCAACATTATGCATCATGATCTTTCTCGTTGTGCTGCTATAACGTGTATAAGTACATGCATACGAGTACTGTGTACCGTTTACTGTCTCCTTGTCAGTGTTTTTGGGCGATCCTCCACACCTTCATTTGTCTTCCAATTATTAATTTTATAGAAATATTCACTCACTTCAACTTCTTTTGATTGCTGGTGCGAATGTAGCCTGCGATGCCTGCTTGTTAGTCAGAGTGCACCAGACATGTATCGATATGTATGTCTGACGAGATGTTCTTGAACTGGCAGGCATGCTGCTTTGCTTAGATAAGGTTTAGAATTGGGTGCTCAATGGCCTGGAGGAATTAATCATGTTTGCGATCAGTATCACCAAGAGTACGGTTCTTCCGTCTACGCATCTCTTCTTGGCTTGTGGATTGGTTGAAAAGAGATAAAATAATAATACAGAAGTACTTGTGTCCAAGTGTCGTCATGAAAACAAGTTCTACCTCCGTAACTTTGTCCGCAAGGTCACGTGAATCTAGCTGGTAGTCCCGCTGCCGATTTGTGTGTGTGTGTGTGTGTGTGTGTGAGTAAGTGTGCGCGCGCATGTGTGAGTGTGTGTGTGTGTGTGCATGCGTGAGAAAGAGAGTGTGTGTGTGAGAGAGAGAGAATGTGTGTGTGTGTGTGTGTGTGTGTGTGAGATTTAGAGAATGTGTGTGTGTGTGTGTGTGTGTGTGTATGTGTGTGTGTGTGTGTGTCTCAAACTCTCTCCCCCTGTCTCGGGGCGGCGTGGCCAAGCATTTGGCAGCTGTACACCAGGCCAGGTGTGTGTGTGTGTGTGTGTGTGTGTGTGTCGTTCCAAGTCGTCATCTTCGTGCGGTAGTTTGCTCCACTCGCGGGCTTGCAAAGCCTCGCGAAGACTCTGAGCGTTGGCTCATGGAATGTTCGCTCTGTTGTGGAGAGTGATGGACCAGTTCTAGCGGCAGCCGTGAGAAGAATCGTTTCCGATGATAAGCCAGAGCCATAGCTGCTGGAGATGGCAGTCTCGAACATGGTCTCGCTCGTCGTTCTATATTGTCGGCCCCGTAAGGGGACACGTGACCGTAATGGCAGTGTTTACCAGGACCAGGACCAGGTGTGTGTGTGTGTGTGTCTCATACTCTCTCTTCTACTCTCCCCCTGTCTCGGGGGCGGCGTGCCTAAGCATTTGGCAGCTGTGCACCAAGCCAAGTGTGTGTGTGTGTGTGTGTGATGTAGAGAATGAATGACATATGTGCGTGTGTGTGTGTGAGAGAGAGATTTAGAGAATGAGTGTGTGTGTGTGTGTGTGTGTGTGTGTGTGTGTGTGTGTGTGTGTGTGTGTGTGTGTGTGTGCGCGCGCGCGCGTGTGGGTGTATGTGAGAAAAGAGAGAGAGTGTGGGTGTATGTGTGTGTAATGGTGTGGGCATGTGTGGTCCCGAGCTCTATTCTATGTCATTCACGCTGGAACTACTGCTGCATAGCCCCAAGTCTGAAGACTTGGCAACTTCACGCCTGCACCTGACTCTTGCACTATAATACCCGTCGCCTATGATACCCCTCAGAATTTCCCACCTTGCTCCCCCTTATGTTCAGGCTGCCCGTTTAGGAGCCATCAGTTGCCTGACGATCGTAGTAATACGTGAAACTCAAAGTTGTGACAAAGCCTCCAATCTCTCTTGTAATACAGAAATACCTATATTCTGCCTGTGACTACTCACAGAGAAAGAGTGGTCACAACTGTACATTCCGCATGTAACTGTTCGCATGGAATTATAGTGGTCTCAACTGTATTCTGTGACCGGTCATAGGGAATTATAGTTTCCACAACAAATCCTGCAGTACGAAGCACCCTGCGAGCAGTCACGAACTGTGTACTTTACACATGTACATGTATGGTGATTTGTGACTGGTCATGGGGCATTGTGACTGGTAAACTAATTTGTGACTGGTCATGGGGGGTTTGTGACTGTTTGACTGGTCACGGGGACCGTGATTGGTCACGGGGCCTTGACTGGTCACTGAGTCCTACATATACATACAATCAACTTTGCGTATAACGACGCTCGGCGGTGCATCAGAAAAGTGACATTCGCGAAGTGTCCTTAAACCCGAAGTCTCATTATAATTATGTACTTGGTCCGACTTATTAAAATGTGCGTTTCGCTTCGAACGTCAACCAAACAAATCCAAATAATCTCAGGACGGAATAAACTATCCAGCTACATAACACTATCCTTCAGTTGTCGATTTGTGATGTTGAAGAATAAATGGCTCCAACTCCAAAGGAGGCAGCGCCTCAGGATCCTAGTCGACTAGAGCATTTTGCGTCCAAATTTTGTCATCAAAGGACTCCTGTTGCTTCTCGCGCAGCACAGAGAAGGCCTGGTGCTGAAATCAACACCCCACTGCGATGAGGAATTGTCATGAAGTACCAGAAACTCCTGGGCGATCATTCTCGAGTGCTTCCTGGCGGATTGAAATCGCTGCAGTCGCTGGTTTCTTGGCAGAATTTCAGCAAACGCGTCATCCAGAAACTCGTGCAGAAAGCACCAGCATCACTCCGTCCAGTTTACTAATCTCTCTCGCAGTCGTTCACGATGTGGGGGCCGACGAATCAAGATAACAGAAGAGATCATCGAGAAATTGATCGATATAAATAACCGCCCTTCAGGTCGACTTTCAGGCGACAACCTGGCTGGAAAACTGAAGCGCAGAAGGGGTGCACATACGGTGCGTGAATGGTGCGGAGTCCTCGGAGCGGCGTTCGCGATGCGTCACAAGAAGATCGCCAGTCTCCGGGGCAAGTGGATTTGTGAAACCGGCAGGGAAGAGCATGCACGCATGCACGCATGGTCTGACTGCATCATATGTATGACAGTCATGTCAACGCAAATAATTATATCGGACTCAGTACGCGCGCGGCACATGCACACACGGTGATGAGAAGAGTTTTTTTTTATGCGTGGTGGTTTACTTGTTCGCCTCATTTGAAGGTGTCTTGGGAGCGTCAGGCGGAAACACCTACAGCCACCATTCAGGCAGTCGTTCTGCACGAGGAGGAGGCGAAGTCGATCGTCTAAATCGTGCCTATGGAGTGAAAAAATCAAGGAAGCGCAGTGTAGCTTGGAGGAGATGAAAAAATGTCGACGTTTTGCAGGTTGACGCACTTGCAGATGCGCCCTGAGACACCAGCAGCGATGAAAACTAGAAGGTCAGGCCAAGAAACGACACAGTAGTTATCTATCTACCGTCTCTTGGTTGTTTTTTAGTACAGGTGCTCCTTTGTACATATGCTTGAGTTTTGAAGCGAAGCGCACATTTTGATAAGTCGGACCAAGTATTACAGTTAGATGGGCACTTTCCTCTGGGAATGGAAATTCTGTTGTTATTCACGAATTGTGGTTATATCCGCAGTCGTTATTAGCAAAGTTGACTATATATATACATACCCAACACTGTAGACAGCAAGCTGTTTCGGCCATTGAGCCATCATCACTACATCTACAAGCTTTTTAAACTCGTTGCTGTTCCGGTGTGGATGTGTGTTTGTGTGTGTCTGTGTGTGTGTATGTGTGGTGCATGAGTTTGTGTGTCTGTGTGTGTGGGGGGGGGGGGGGTTGGCATGTACAAAAGTATGCATGGCAAAACTGAAATGGAGCCACATGCATGTAGCACAACAGTGATTTAGATGCCAAGAATCCTTGCCAGGTTAGCCATTGCCATGGTATAAGCGTACTTAGATCAACCACTGATGATGTACAGGTCCAGACTGGAGTGATGCACATCAACACTCTAGAACCTGCTGTCTGTGTTAAAATAACGTGTACGGCTGGCCATAAATCATTTTTTGTATGTTTGTTCATGTTTTTATGCCATGTATATCTTGCTTAGATGAGGACGAAAGTTCGTACGGCAACCCATTCAAACAAAGTGCCTTTCTAACCGATATCTCACCTTGGTTGGGCACATTACCAGCAGGAACATTTCGTTATATGGCGCAAGAGGCCGGGTTCTTCGCCGATCTGCAGCAGATAGAGGACTTGAAGAGAATTGAGAAACTAGATGGAACACGCACTCACAACGAAGAGTTGGTCAACATTGTAAGCAGCGAGGAACAGGCCGGCTACATCAAGCTGGTGAAGATCATCGAACGCTGGGGTAAATATCCCGACAAGGTCGACAAGATGAACCAGCTTCTGCCACGACGCGCCCGTGTGTAAACGGTAGGTTGCGTTCATTTCTTGCACTACCTGAATCCCGAATAAGTCATTGCAACATACGTCTCTTGTTTGGGTGTGATGATCTATTTCTCATCAGATATTGTCCCAGTTGTGATAGAAAGTATGTATCCGTTGTTCATAAATCAAGTTGAAGAAAAGTCAAAGTTCCTTATGACTGGAAATTTGGAGCACATGACTTTATATGTACCATATTTTCCGGAGTGTTAGCCTCACCTTAAAACACCTGAAACTATTTGAAATAGTGTTCATCAGTGTGGATTTACGTGTATGAATGTGTGTGTGTGTGTGTGTGTGTGTGTGTGTGTGTGTGCGTGTGTGTGTGTGTGTTTGTGTGTGTACATGTGCATGCATCCAATCCATTCTGGCTCCGGTGTGTATGTATGCTATAATGTGATCGTCTTCGTGTCCGTGCGGTATTCTCTGTTTGCTCCGTCACAGATTGAGGTTTCAAGCACTTCACGCAGCAAGTGCTGGTACTGTTCTCTCTCTCTCTCTCTCTCTCTCTCTCTCTCTCTCTCTCTCTCTCTCTCTCTCTCTCCCTCTCTCTCTCTATCTCTCTATCTCTCTCTCTCTCTCTCTCTCTCTCTCTCTCTCTCTCTCTCTCTCTCTCTCCGTGGTGTGTTCTCTATGTTACTGACTGGCTATGCTGTTCATCAAATCCATTCTTCCTTAGTCATATTTACCAAATTGTAGCAGCATTATGTTATGCTTGTTCGCTACCCCACTAAATATTTCCTTCCTCTATATAAATGTACTCCCCCTCCCCACCCCTTGTCCCTACTCCTCCCCAGTTTTTGGTGCACTGAAGTGTCGCTGAAGCCGAGACCTCAGGTCGGCGGAGATGCTCCAGTTTCACCACCACAGTTGCGTCTGCAACCACCTCTATCATGCAGTATTCTGTTCTCGAGGTTCGTGGTTTCTCGTAAAAAAAAAGAACTAGTACAGTAGGTTAGACAGTAAAGACAGCTAATTGTAGAGGACCACACCAGGTTACTTTGCCCGTTGCAGAATTACTACTTATAGTCATGCAGATACTTGAAACTTTTCTTTTGAATTTTATGAATGCATATATTGGAATATTTTCGTTATGCCGAGGTATACCGAGTAGGTTAGACTATTTTAGTGATATAAAATATTTTTGATTAAGTTTCTTTTTTTCGAAATTCCAGTCACTTATACAATGTCATGTACATACGCAATTATTACAAAACGTAATTTTAAGTTTGCGCTTTCAGAATTTCATTTTCACTTCAATACTGTAACAGTGCCATGATTTCAGTACCATTGGTGGTGGGTCACATGTTGTACAAACTCTAAAACAAACATTTTCTTCTCATCAGAACTTGGATCTATGGTGCCTCGTCTACAAAGTTCAGTTAAAAAATTCCTTGAAGATAGAGTCAGCCTGGTAAATAACAATCTAGGTTAAAAGAACAACTAATGAATAACCACACATGACTTAACACCCAGTGACCATTTGACTACATACTTCAAGCTCACTAATAACAAGAGTGGATTAACAAGAGTGTGCAACTCCGGATCTCTTCTGCACTATCTGCAGATACCCCGAATTTTTTGTTGATATCACCTTTTTTCAGGAAAACGTGCATTTTGCCGCAGAGCAGTGTGAGAGCACGTGCTGGGCACCGACCTTGTAATGTAAAGCCCGGCCAAGTGCACGAGGACTTACTTTCCAAACGACTCGCAGCGCGTGCGTCGTCGAAAAGATTACGTCAACGAAAATATTCCGCCGCGGGCCAACCCATCCCGGAGTTGCACACTCTTGTGTATCTACTCTTGCTAATAACATACTCCCGCGAATAGCGATGCTGTACTCATGTACGATGGAGCACAATTACCAAGCAAGTGGCGACATGTCATTTCGTTCAATTTCCCAATATTCCCATGACTAGATAAGCATGTTTTCTCTGTCTGCGTTCATTAGGAAATGCTGGCGATAAAAATACAACCAAATTCTATTGTATGCAGTATGCACTCATTTACACAGTACGCGGAGCACAGCGGACTAGTTATACACCCAAACAGAAGAAAATACACCCTGCCCACTTTGAAAACAAATGTTTCTCACTTGTGCACCCCGTAGAGCTGCCACTGTTGTGCCAAGGCCCATTGGCGCATGGTGTGTATACTCCAAATCTACATGTACGATGATCGGTCACTGCTGGCGTTTGTGCTCTTGGACAGTGCAACGCTGCGTGAAGATAAGTTGTGGCTCCACAATCGCTGAGAACGCTAGTGTGCGTCCATGGAATACTAAAACACAATAAGCGTGGCGTGGCGCAGCTAACGCCCACTTGGATGAATCGGACGACAGTGGTCGCGAGTGCATTCTCCTTCCTCGGTGAACACTGCTGGACACCATGTTTGATGATCCACCAAACACCATCGGTGCAGGCCGCGTTTTTCGGAACCAGAGATTTGTTCGTCCACCAACAATTGAAATTTAAAATGTTTCTCACTTGAACACTCTGTAGAGCTGTCGCTGTCGTGACAAGGCCGTGTATACTCCAAATCTACATGTAGGATGAAGAGTAACAGTTACAGCTAATAATGAAGTTTGCGCTCGTGGACAGTACAACGCTGTGTGAAGTAAATAATTATTGTTGCCCCACAATCGCTCAGAATGCTAATGTGTGTCCATGGAATACTAAAAGACAATAGTCGCGGTGCAGCTAACGCCCAACGTGGATGAAACGGACAACAGCAGGGGCTACAAGACACTATACTTGATGATTCACCAAACACCAAACACGGCAAACACCATCGTTGGGGGCCAAGTGACAGTTTTCCGGCAACAGTGACTTGTTCGTCCAGCAACTACTTGTAACTTTGAGTATTTCTTCAACACTTCGTAGAGCAGCCGCGCAAGGCCTTTCCTTCACGTTAGGGTAGCGATCCTTCCTAGATGCTATTGCCACTCATTGTTACTTTTTACTACAATTTGACACTCTAGTAGTTTTTCTCCGAAAATAAAGTCAGCTGCCATCAGGCATTACTGAGTACAGAGTCAATTACACTTCGCCTAGATATAATACATGTACAGTCGACCTACCCTTATAACGATAACCCCTATAACGATATTACCCTCATAACGATATTTTTCTGCCAAACCAAATCACTCCATTGACTTGTGTATACAATGCCTTACCTCTATGACAATATTGCTATAACGATATCACCCCTATAACAATATAAAATGGGCTGACCAATCGACATTTTCCATTTTATAACAATATCCAGCAGGGAATATGTACAGTCCACTGTCAAGGTAGGGCAAGCTTCACTTGATAAGTCGCTGGAACATGACAAAATGCAATTGGGGCACCAGTGGGCACCTTGCCATGTACATAATGTGCATGTACATAAGTGTTTGACTCTATGAAGAGTGTAAAAAATGAACTAAATTCATGCATTATGACGTACATGTACAGTATGTGTATGAATGAAGCAGTTACCCTTATAACAATATTACCCTTATAACAATATTTCTTGGTCGGACGCAAATATCGTTATAAGGGTAGGTCGACTGTACTAGGCCTAGCGCATAGCGCCTGGACTTGTTATTATTGTTTTTATTGTTACACAATCACGATGACATAGTGCCAATAAGCATGTGATGCGGGCGATTTTAACCAGCCATGGTGGGGACAACTGAGAAAAAGAAGGAGAAGAAAAAGAGAAAAGAAAAGAAAACAAAAGGAGTACTATAGGAACCTGGAGAGAGCAGTATGACGATTAGGCTAGCAATGGAAAACAACGAATTCAATTCAATTCAACTTAGGCGCGGGCAGAATGGAACAAAATGCAGCGAAGGTGTCACGAGACTTTACCTCCTGCGGAAGCCGAGACCAATGAGAATAGGACTTGAACAGAGGGGATTTTAAAAGGATCGATGACCTGGCAAGTGGGAAATGGAGAGAACATCTAGTACGCGAGCTATTATTGAACCAGCTTAAATGCGCAAGTGCATGAGGAGGAGCAAGTTGAAGCTTAATACGGTGAATGAATTTGCGTGCCGAGTGGGGAAAGCGTTCTGAGAGGGGGGAAGAGGAAGCCAAAATGTATAGCGTCTGAGAGGAGGTCAGAGGGGGCATGCGAAATATTAATCGAAGTAATTTACGGTGGGTGACTTCTAACCGATGCATAAGAGCGGAGGATAGACCGGAGGACCAAACGAGAGAGCAGTAATCAAACAAAGGAAGAACATAAGAGTGATAAATTTGTATTCGACAACCATGATGTAGATGGGAGATGTGAGGAGAAATGCAGCCTATCGCGGAGCAAACTCGCTTTTCAATATAGGTTACGTGCGAATCCCAGGACAAGTGTTCATCAAGAAATATACCAAGGTGTTTGTGATTTTTAACAATGTTGATAGCAATGGGATCATCAGGGAAAGTAAAAAGCCGAGTCGTAAAGAGGGTGAGGTCACTGGAGGGTCGTGGGGGGATACAAAGGATTGCCGTTTTCGACACATTGGGGCGGAGTTTCCACTTCGACATCCAGCCCACAACTTGATTAATGTGATACTGTAGCGAGTCGCAGGCTTGCAATAAGCCTGGCTCGGTTATATGGAGCGCTGTATCGTCCGCGTAAAGTGAGGTATGATCCAAACCTGCCAAATCATTAACGTATACTATGAACAATAGAGGCCCCAAGATAGAGCCCTGGGGCACTCCAGAGTGGACTGTTAGAGGGGCGGACAGAGCATGTCCAATTCGGACACTCTGTCGACGTTCAGTGAGATAGCTGGTGAGCCACTGCAGACACGTCCCGGCTACGCCAAACGCTGCTAACTTATGGAGGAGACCCCTTGTCCAGACAGTGTCAAATGCTTTGCTCAGGTCGAAAAAACATAGGAGGCTAAACTGCTTCTGATCCTTGCATTCATATAGCTTCTGCACAAGCCTCAGCAACTGCCAGGCGGTCGAATCGCCTCGCCGAAATCCAGACTGTGACGGGTCAAGGACCGGGTTCACATGTTGGTATAAGTGGCCAAATGCCACACGTTCACAGAGCTTTGAAATGGTGGAAAGGAGTGAAATCGGCCGGTAATTGGATGCAGACAGTTTACTGCCTTTATTCTTGTAAATAGGCACAACCACAGCTGCCTTCCAGACATCAGGGAAGATTCCGGTGGCGAAGGACTGGTTGAAAACTAGGCTGAGAGGGATAGCTATACTAGGAGACAGGGCTTTTAGGAATTCATGGGATATGCCATCTGCACCTGCCGCCTTCTTGGGCTTTAGGCGACGGATGTGTTGGGCAATGGCGGTGGGAGTAGTGCTAAAAGAGGGTAGTGCTGGGAGCCCGTGGTATGGAATACCAGGGAGAGACCATGCAGGATCATCCGGTGTTCCAAAGCTGATGAATTGGCGATTCAGAGCATTGGCAATCTGGGTAGGGTCGTTGTGTACAGTGTTATTTTCATGGAGTTCAGTGATGATTGGGTTTCCAACAGGGGTCGGCGAACGAAGCTGCTTAACAAACTTGAACAAACTAGGGGTGGATGCAATAATGGATTATAGCAATAAAAACTGCTTTATGGCAGTTTTCTAAAAAAGGTTATTGTGTTCTAGTCCATGGACCCCGTCTAAAAAGTAAGAAATTAACGAAATGTGATAGCTGAAAATTAAAATTTCACACAAAACCTCACAATAATCACACACAGAATGAAAAGTTACATGCAGAAGACCTTTTCCCCTCGTGATCCTCTTTCCTATGCATGCATGTTGCCAATTGTTGGTGCAGTACAAGTTTAGTGTTGAAAGCAGCATTTCAAGTGTTGTGATTATTGTGAGGTTTTGTGTGAAATTTTAATTTTCAGCTATCACATTTCGTTAATTTCTTACTTTTTAGACGGGGTCCATGGACTAGAACACAATAACCTTTTTTAGAAAACTGCCATAAAGCAGTTTTTATTGCTATAATTTCTTTTGTTTTTTCTGTCACCAATCAATGGAATTCCCTATATCAATATGTAAATGATGGCCTTCACATCATATCAATACCATATTATACGCATTGATGTGCAAGCCTTTTCTTGCAGAAAATGGCACTAGCATAATGCATGTTCTTCTGCGGGGAAACATGTGAGCAGTGGTGGTGATACTTTTTTTATACGGAGGTCATTCTGTGCATGTTGCTGTTGCAGAATTTCATGACTCTGTCATAAAATTGTCTTGCCTTTCAGATATTTCAGATTTCTCCACCCTCAATCAGATTTATTTGAGAAATGTAGCCATGCACCAGGTGCGTGTCGCAGATGTTTTTGTTGATTCTGTGTATATAATGGTTTATAGTCATGGGTTATCG